CCTTATAAGGATTTGGGGCCCACCCTAAATCCAGGGTGATTTCATCTCAAGATCCCTAACTAATGACATCTGCAAAGACCCTATTTCCAAATAAGTCACATCCACAGATTCCAGGGGCTTCGATATATGTTTTGGGGGAGGGGCAAGGTTCAGCCATCACTTGCCACAGGTGAGCGGCCTGGGGCCCATGCAGGAATGGCCGAGGCTGGTGCCCACCTGGTCTCCTGTCTCGAGCTACCTCAGCCACCTTAATCCCTCAGGGCTCATCTGCAGATGCCCTCTTCCAAGGGGCTTCCGGGGTGATGGGCAGTGAAATGCTGGGGCCGCACCGAAGGAGTCAGGTGGTGACACCCAAGGCAACGGTTTCCAGCCCCCCCTAGCTGCCCGCTACTTCCTGACCCCTGGGTGTGGCCACAGGTAGGGAGTTGCAAGAGGAGCCCACTTGGACTTGGCCTTGGTCTCTACTGTGCGATCTTGAGCAAGTGTTTTCTTCTTTCTGGGCCTCAGAGTCTCTGTCTATCAACAGACAGGGAGACAGTTGCCCCAGAACCTGTGAATTCCCTATGAAAACTAAAAATGACCATCTCTGAGCCTTTCTAAATGCTGGCACCATTTCTGAAACGTATACGTGACTTACCAATGACAAAGGGAAAAGCTTTTCAGAGGAGGCAGCCCCTTAACCAGTGACCAGAGTTACCATCACCCACTTAGGGGGATAAACTGACACCACAACCCAAATCTAACCATGTGGAAATATCAGACAAACCCACATGGAGAGACATCCTGTCACACAACCGACCTGTGGCCTCCAAAAGCATCAGCCTCATGAAAGATGAAGAAAGGCTGAGGAAAAACTGCAGATTTTAAAGGCGTTTAAAGAGATAGGACAACGGATCGCAATGTGTAACCTTAGATTGAATCATGGATCAGGGGGAAAACGATGATATTGGGCTATGTGCTGAAATTTGAATGCATATTGTTAGATAAGAAGCATTTTTTCAATATTCAATTTCCCGAATTTGGTGACTGCCCTTGGGTTCTCTATCAGGTCCATCGTGAAGTGTTTTGGGGTGAAGGGCCATGATGTCTGCACGGTGCCTGCCGATGGTTTTGTAATAACGATAACATATGAAGAGAGAGGTAAATCACCTGGCGTGAATGTTAGTATTTGGTGAACCAGGGTGCAGATACCTAGTAGGTGTTGATGGCACTTACTTCCATAAAATGTGTTTTAAATGATAGCGAAAATATACAGTCAGGGATTTCTGAAGGCTACTTTTTACACACATTGTCAGATTTTATTTGCACCCCGAGCTTAGGAGCTGGGTATTACCATTACCCAATATTTGGCAGTTTGGCAGGGACCACCCAGTCGATATATGGGGAGCCAGGGTTTGCCCCCAGGGCCAACCTCTGGCTAAGTCTTGGGGTTTCATAGATCTTCCCTGTACCACCTGCCATGCGCACTCCTCTTCCCCCCAGACAGGATATGCTGTTTCTTGCCTCCAGGTCTCTTACTTGCTGTTCCCTCCACTGGAAAGTAACACCCCTTTCCTACTCCCTCCCACACCCTTCAGGTCACCTTCTCCAGGAGGCCTTCGCAGACTCCCCAGCCTCAATCGGGTCCCCTAGGGCCTGTACCCCACTTCTCATCATGCTCACTACGTTTGTCATTATTGGTCTAATGTCGGCTCCCCCATGAGCAGAAAGTTCCATGAGCATAGAAACAGCGCCTGTATTATTTACGGCCACAGCCCCAGGACCTGGCGCAAGAGTCACAAAGTATTCTTCTTCTTTTGACATTTTTTTCCAACCATTTAAAAATGTGAAAAACATTCTTAGCTGTGAGGCCACATGAAAATGGGCGGTGGGCAGAATTTGGCCCGGGGAGATTATATATGTATCATCTGCTGATCTGCATTTAGAAGCAAGCGTTCAGAAAGTGTCTTTTTTTCCCCCTCCACTCTTAATAGGGTACATTGATGATTATTCCACCTCTATAAATACTGACCTCCTACATCCTTTCCTTTTAATTTTCAAAATATATTTTTAAAAAGTTTAATAAACTCTTTAGTTTAGAATCACTTGAGATTTTTTTAGAACCACAACAGAAAGGTTGTGAGAATATTAGAGCTTGCATATACCCGGCACCCAGCTTGCCCTATTTTTTTTTTTTTTTTTTTTTAAGATTTTTTTTATTGGGGAATTGGGGGTATGGGAACAGCGCTGGGGAATTGGGGAAGGGGAACAGACAAGTTGCTGTCGTTTTGTTCTTCAGTCTAGTTGTGGAGGACGTAGCTTCACTGGCCCAAGTTGGCACCATCATTGCGCTCTTCCCAGGCGAGGCAGATCAGTCGCCGGCTTCTGGACGGCCGCTCATTGCGGCTGCTGGCCGCTCACGCTGGCTGCTGGCTACATACTGTAGCCCATGGCAACCCACTGCCACAGGAGCTGCAGCCTACGCCATCGCTGGTGACTCACAGCAGCCCAGCTCCAGGTTGAGCTGTTGTTCAGCATCTTAGCTGTGGAGGGCAGTGTCACTGGCCCTCATATGTGGGATCCGAACCGGGGCCCTCTGGCGTCCCAAGCCAGTTCTTAACCATTGCGCCACTCGGCCGGCCCCAGCTTGCCCTATTCTTAACATCACTGTGGTACACTTGTCATGTCACACTTAATGAACCAATAGTGACACATTGTTACCAACTCAAGTCCATGCTTTCTTTGGATTTCCCCCGTTTTCCCCTGCTGTCCTTTTTATGTTCCAGGATCCCATATCCCATTTAGGCATCAGGTCTCCTTCCTTAGGCTCCTCCTGCCTGGGACAGTCTCTCAGACTTTTCTTGTTTGTTTGTTTTTTTGTTTTTTTAGCTGAGCCATCCTGCCACCTGTTGGCAGCTCAGCGGCAGCTCAGCTCCGGTCGGGACTCAAACCACTAGTTGCTCAGAGCTCACACTCTTGAGCGAGCTTTTAACCAACTGAGCCACTCGGCCGGCCCCAGACATTTCTTGTTTTTGATGACCTTGACAGTTCTGAAGAGTCCTGGTCAGGGATTTTGTAGGATGTTCCTCAGTTGGGGGTTGTCTGATGTGTTCTCATAATTAGACTCCTCGTATGGAGGAAATCAAGAGTTCAGTAAGTATCCTCTTCTCTTTCCATCCAGCCTCTTCCAACCCCTTCCAAACTCTCTCCCCACTGCTAGCCTTTCCCTGGTGGGAAGTTAATTCCCTCGAGGTCCAAACACAGCCCCTCACCTGAACGCAGCTGTGGGCGGAGCTCGTTTAGACCTGCCTGGTTTGTTTTTTTTAATCCCCAGGTGTAATCAGAGAGGCCAGCCTGGTGGGGTCCAGGTGCCCCCAGATCATTTGCTGGGAGAGAAAAGGAGACACAACAGGAAGGCAGGAGAGCAAGGAGACTAATAATAACGTTACAACGTGGCTGTTTATGGAATGCACAGGGGATGTACAGCCCAGGAACAGTCCCTCCTGCCTCCAACATGTGGCAACCATATTTCCTTGGCCCAGGACTGAAACATCGGGGATTGGCAAAGAGCATTCCATTTTCTTTTAATACCTTTGAAAGGCCTTCTGATTTGTGAATTTCTTTAGGGAAGGCTACATGTAGTTGCACATTTTAATAAAGGCAGTTCATGAAAATAATAAAAGAACATGAGGCCAAGCCTGGCTGGGCAACCCACACTTGCCCTCTCATAAAAGGCTAAGATCTCGGAATGGCTTCATAAAGCCTGCTCCAGCCGGTCCTGACCAGGGTCACCGTGTGCAGAAAACAGCCCCCTAATTGTCCTTGAACGAAAGAGCGCTTTCATACGTATCAATAAATATCTGTTGAATAAACAAATGACTTTGAAACACCGGTGACCGTAAGTCATCTACTCAAGGTTCGAGGGTGTATTTTTACATGTGTTATGTGTGTTTTCATTGAATAGACAGTCAACAGAAGACACACAGAGGGTGAAATTTGATCTTCAGAGTAACCGACTACAAAGCAAGTAAATCCTCAAGTAGTGGGCTGAAGGCCACTACTTGGGGAAAAAAAAAAAAAAGATATGGTCATGTTCTAATCCCCGGAACCTACGACTGTGATCTTATTTGCATATATAATTAAGTGAAGGTTTTTGAGATGAGATCATTGTGGATTTAACATGGGCTCTAAGCCCAATAGCAGTAACCTGATTAGAGAAAAACGAGGAAGATAGATTTGGCTCAGACACTAAAGCAGAGGAGGCCACGTGAAGATGGGGCTAGAGATTGGAGTGATGTAAGCTACAACCCAAAGGACACCTGAAGCCACCAGAAGCTGGAAGACGCAGGAAGGATTCTCCCATTGAGACTTCCAAGGGGGCACAGCCTCGCGGACGCCTTCGTTTTGGATTTCCAGCCTCCAGAACTGCGACAGAATAGATTTCTGTTGTTTTAAGCCACTCCGTTTCTGGTCAGTTGTTACAGCAGCCCTAGGAAACCAATAATACATCCCATAATTCTATCGCTTAATACTATTTAATACTTAATAGCCACAGGACTTTGAGCAAGCTGCCTCACTCCTCCGGTTCCCAATTTACTGGCAGACAAAATGGGGATGTTTATCTTCAATGCACACATGCCAATGTTTACAGGTGATGCTCAGGAACTGCTGCATGCGTCTGGCAGCCTCTCAGTTTCCTCCTCTCTAAAAGGGAGGCAAGAATCCCTAATCCTGTCCCCATCCTCAGGGCCGTTTTAGGACTCAATAATAAAATAACACAGAGAAGGAGGCTAAAACAATTTCCTCATTTACGCAGCGTTTAAGCACTCAGCCAGCCACCTGCACTCCTCCGCCAAGGTTAGGAACCAGCGCCCCCTGCCGACTTTGCATTGGTCTCTCCGGGCGCCGCCGAACAGCCTGCGCCTGCGCAGAGTGCAAGCGCTCAGGCACGCCCCTGGTGGGTGTGACTTCCTTGGGTAGCTCTGATTTGGCCACGCCTACTTCCGGAGGGGGCCGGCCTAGGTCCGAAGCACATGACTCTTCCGGCTGGTCAAAGATGGCGGCACCCAGAGCTGTAGCGTGAAAGTGGTTGGTGAAAGGGGCTGTCCATTCGTGTTGGAATTAAAACAGCGGGACCGTGCACCATGTCACGACTGATTGTGAAGAACCTCCCGAATGGGGTGAGTGCCGAGCCTGGACCTGGGAATCTGAAACTGGGACCAGTCTGGAGCCTGGGTTTGGGAGGGAAGGGGCTTGGGAGAATTGAGGGGTTTTCGCTCTGGGGCAGGACTCCGGGTGGATTTGGAACCCACAAGGGTCAGGATCCTCGCCTTCTCCCCATTTGACAGTTGAGAGGGAGGAGATAGTGACGGCTCAAGATTTCACAGCCGGCCCGTGGGTACCTGACTCCCAATCCGACAACTTATCCCAGTGCCCACCTTGGACCCAGTGCTTTCCTCCCACAAGCCCTCTCGTCCGATTGCGTTTTTTTGTTGACGTGTGACTGGGTCGCACATTGTCCCTATAGTCCTTTCCCATCCAGGGGACTGTTGGGGAGACAAATGGGGAGTAATAGGCTTACAACCTGTCGTTCCAATTCTAATTGGATTAGTTTAAGATAATCGAGTGGCTGTGAAGGGCTTTAAACCATTTATCCAATAAGCGGGTGGGGGGGTGACCCAGTCATAGTTGTCTCTGTTTCTCTGGAGTCCAGCACAGAACCTGGCAGGTGGCAGGCACCTAATAAACACATGCCTAATAATCGAGTGAAGAAATAGGTGAATGTGTGTGGTATTAGGTGATTGGATGCAATCTGCTGCTGTGAATCATCCTTAATCTATTTCTCTATAACTTTTCATGCATGAAGAGCCACTGGTGCGGCTAATAAGCTTATTCCCAAAATACAAAGTGTGCCGTTTGGATGGTGTGAGAAATCTTCTGTATTCTTGACTCTGCCCCTTGGGAGTCTCTCTCCTTAGAAAGAAGAGCACAATGCCATTTCTGTTTCATTGCTGTGGGTTTTTTTTTTTAGCTTTACCCTTTTTGCCCACTCCAAGTGGATTTGAGGGGTGGGAACCTATGACACAATTTTTAAAATTTAAATAGTTACATTAGTGTATAAGATGATGAGCAAAGTTTGTTCCATCCTACCCTCCATCTTTCCCCAGGAATAACGATCTTCTATGGCTTGTTTTTAGGCCTCCTCATGGACACCTCTTTATGTTCAAATAGTGGGTGCTCTTGCTTCCATTTCTTGGCCTATTAACCCCAATGACTATCGGCTGACCCCCCCACTATGAAAGATGAGGAAATAGACCTATTCCTCCCTTCCAGTCTGTTATTTCTTATTTTTAATTCTTCCATCATTTACCCTTGATGATCTGTCCATATCAGCTTTGGGCAGTGACTCTTGATGCCTCACCCTGATGAATGAAGATGAGGATGGCTACCTCCCCCTCGCAATTTCCATGTCATTGTGCTTCTCAGGGTGGCTGAGTTGCTTGTCTCCTCTGATGAATGAAAGAATTAAGAAAAACAATAGTAGGAGCTAACACTTGGAGAGCTTACTGTGTGCCAGGCACTGTTCCAGGTGCTCTGGGTAACAGAACTCATTTAACCCTCACCATAACCCCACAGGGTGATGCCCCTTTTAAAGGTGAAGAAGCCAAGATAACAGCGAGATAAAGTGATTTCACACGGCTGGTAATCCTTAGCACAGGGATTAAAACTGAGCAGTCTGGTTCTAGAATTTATTGTACCTTGGTGATCACTACACCATACTGTCCCTCTTGGCTTGATTGCATGCACGTGTCTTAATCCTTTCCCAGCAGATAAACACTAAGTAGTGGAGAACTTGTTATGTTGCTGACGTTGTAGATATAGGTGGATAAGACTCGGTCCCTTCTTTTATGGTGCTTGCAGTCTAGCAGAGGAGACAGACAGACACCAGACCATTCGGATGGAAGGTGCAGGGGTTGAAGCAGGAACCGGGGCTGTGTGAGCACAGAGGGCTTGGTTACTTGACCCACCTGAGGAATCTAGGAGAGGCTTCCTAGGGGACTTGAGGTGATTGAACTGAGGAGGAGGAGGAGTTAGTCAGGGCCTGTCTGGGGAGATTCACCCAGAGGAGACAACAGTAGTAAAACCTCAGAGGTGAGAAGCAGAGAAGGCTGTGAGGAACTTGGCAGGTGCTGCTGAAGAGCTTGGTCAGGGCCAGAGCATAGAGAATCATGCGTTTCACTTTAGGTGCTTATTCTTGAATTGAGCCTTTGGTGTTGGAAACTCACCGAACGGTTTTTGACAGAGGAGTGATAGGTCAGAGGAGTGATGGCTCAGACGAGCGTGGTCTCTCTCAATTCACGGGAAGGTAAATTTGCTGCCTTTTACATCGGAGCTGAGTTACAAACCTGGATTCTATAGACCTTGGACAGATCATTTATGCTCTGTGAGCTCCCTTCTCTCTTCAATAAAATGCCGAGAAGTAATGCTTAACTCAGAGTGAGGGTGAGATTTTAATGAGATCAGAATTAAGGACCTGCCCCAGAAAATGTTTTTGTTTTTTTTTCTTACTGAGCTGCCAAGGCCTCTAATTTCTTGAATTTTAAAATGGACTTTGGCTATTTGTGGGCCCTCAGTGTCCCCCTCAGCCCCACTACCCCCTCCCTCCACACACACACACACACACACACACACACACACACACACACACACCTCCCAGTATCTGCTTAGAAAACTCACTGAGTTGTGAGGGTGGCCCTGGCTGGAGTGAGGATGGTGGGAAGCCAGGAGCCAGCTTTATATAGCATGGGGCTCCTTGTCTTAATAATAATAATATAAGGACTGTATTAGTTTTCTATTGCTACTGTAACACATTGCCACAAACTTAGTTACTTAAACAAATGTATTGTCTTACAGTTTGGGAGATATTAAAATCAAGGTGTCAGCAGGGCTGCGTTCCTCTTGGAGACTTGAGGAGAGAATCCATTTCCTTGCCTATTTCAGCTTCTAGAGGCCTCCTGCGATCCTTGGCTGGTAGCCCCATCCTAAAGCTTCAAAGGCAGCAGCGTAGCATCCTTCCATCTCTTCCTGCTCCATCATCGCATCGCGTTTTCTGACTGACCCTCCGGCCTCTCTTATAAGGACCCTTGTGATTCCATTGAGTCCACCTAGATAATCTAGGATAATTTCCTGGTCTCAGAATCCTTAATGTGGTCACATGTGCATGATCATTTAGGGTCACATTTTCACAGGTCCCAGGGATTAGGACGTGGCCATCTTTTGAGGGGGGCTTCGTTATTCTATCCCAATTAGCAAACACTACGCAGTTTCACCTGTTTGTTCATGCGCTCATTTATCCTGACAAGCATTTATGAGATACCTACTGTGCAGCAGCCAAAATGCTGGGCTCTTTACATAATAATTGGTCTCCTTACCATCCTGACAGCCCACAGGGTGGAAAGATTTCATTGCAACCATTCTGAGTCTTGATTTCATTGTGGATGAGCTGGGTTGGGGACTTGCTCAAGGCCACGCAGCTAGTTCGTGTTCGAGCCAGAGCTGGAACCAGGTCTCACTGTAAAGCACATCTGTCACCCCCTTCGCGCAGGTCGCCTTTGGGCGTCTAGCCCCTTCTGTCCCCTTGGCTCTGAGCACCGCTCCCCCAACCCCTCCCTCATTGTGCCCGGTCTGCTCTAGATGAAGGAGGAACGTTTCAGGCAGCTGTTCGCCGCCTTCGGCGTGCTCACGGACTGCAGCCTGAAGTTCACCAAAGATGGCAAGTTCCGGAAGTTCGGCTTCATCGGCTTCCGGTCGGAGGAAGAGGCCCAGAGGGCGCTGAACCATTTCAACAAGAGTTTTATCGACACATCCCGGATCACGGTGAGTGGGTGGGAACCCCGCCCCTGCTTGCCTGCCCAGAGAGACCCCTTCATCTTTCCCTGCTGGACTCCTGCCCCCTTTCAGAGCGTGCAATGATCTCCCTCACTGACTCTTGCACTTTCATGCCTACACATCCCCTGGGGAGTTGTTAAAACAGCTTCCTGGGTTCTGTCCCCAGAGTTTCTGATTCAGTATGTTAGGGGGCGGGGGAGGCCAAGAATTTATGGGTCTAACAAGCCCCTCGGTGGTGCCATCTTGCTGGTCCCAAAACAAGAACCACTGGTCCATCCACTCAGCCACTCACCTGTTTAGCGAGCACTCAGTGAGCGCTTATTTGATGCTGGGAATTTAGAGAGAATGTGGTACCCCCAGCCCCTGTCCTCAAGGAGCCAGCAGCCCCTGGGCAGGTGGGGGGCCGGCAGGTAAACAGGCTGCTTTCAGGCAGTGTGGTCAGTGATGATGGAGAAGCACTGGCTACAGTTGGCGAACAGAGGAGGCCCCCCAAGAAGGCTTCCTGGAGAAGGACGTCCGACTTGTGTCACTCATGTGCATTGAATGGCTTTTCCCATTACCTTAGGGTTGTTCTCTGGGGCCATTGGCGCTCGCTTCACAGTAATTACAGTAATACCAGCAGCCATGAGCTCCGCATTACCTTCTGCCAGACCCTGTATCATCTCATTTTACCCTCACAGCCACACTTGGATCGCATGGCTAAGAGCTCAGGCTCCAGGGCCAGACCCCCTGAGTTCCTGTCTCCATTCTGTCACTTTCTCCCTGGGTGACCTGGGGCAAGTTCCTTAACTTCTCTGTGTTTCAGTTTCCTGACCTGAGAAGTGGGGAGGGTCACGGTTCCTCCCTCCCACTGTTGGGAGGTTCAGTGTACAGCAGGTCCTCACGTAATGTCATTTCGTTCAGAGTCATTTGGTTCAACATCGATCAGATGGTGTAGGAACTTAACTCTTGTTTATATCAATTAGCCTGTGGGAAAATTGGCTTGGTTATATGTTTCTCTTAAAGTCACAGAACCTATGATGTTAAGTGAGGACCTACTGTGTTCATACTTGCCAAGCATTTAAGACTACCTGGCACGTGGAATTTTTCAGTAAATGCCAACGACCACAATGACTTTGAGGAGAAAGCAAGGCTGGGGGAGGATAAGGAATTTGCTTCAACCCGCTCAGCTGGTCGGTGGAAGTTGCCTTTTTAAAAAGCCCAAGCTCCCAGATGCTGAAGGGCAGCACCCGTGCTGGGCATGGTGGCAGGCGCCTCCGTCATCACCCTCTGTCTCCCATGCAGGTGGAGTTCTGCAAGTCGTTTGGGGACCCAACAAAGCCTCGAGCCTGGAGCAAACACGCCCAGAAAACAAGCCAGTCCAAGCAACCTCCAAACAACAAAGACCCCGCGCCCCCAGAAGCTAAGAAGGTGCGTAGGTCCCTCCTGTCCGTGTGCCTGGTGTCAAGGGCACCCCTGGGGAGGCTGAGCAGGGGGGCCCTCTCCGGGCAGTGTGGTTCCGACCCCCCTCACCCTTCATCTGTGACCCTCACTGCCTGTGCCTTCTGTTTTCAGGACGACAAGAAGAAAAAGGCAACAAGTGACTTGCAGAAGGTGAGTCTGTCCTGTTGACCAGAAGAGCGGGCACCTGGGGCAGCCCCGGGAGGGCCACAGCAGGCCTGGAGAGGGCGGAGGCCGGCCCGGGCAGCAGAGCCCTGCCTGTCCTCTCCCTTTGCCATGTCTCCGTGGCTTCTTAGTCTTCTTGTCCGACAAGAGTCCATTCTGCCCTCCCAGGACTGACCCAGCGGACCGCTGGGTCCTCTAGAGCCCGGGGGGAATGACCTTGGAGGATGCTCGTACCCTCCCAGGAGTTAGGAGGGTGAGCCTGACCTGAGCCTTCTCTTCCTGTTGTTGTCCCTTCTTCCTGCTGCTCCGCTCCGGTGCACCAGCTGAAGGAAGACACCCAGTTCCGGGAGTTCCTGTCAGTTCACCAGAAGCGGACGCAGACAGCCACTTGGGCTAACGATGCCCTGGACGCTGAGCCCCGCAAAGGGAAGGGCAAGCTGGCCAGTGACTACCTGAACTTCGACTCCGATTCGGGCCAGGAGAGCGAGGAGGAGGGAGCCGGGGGAGACCTGGCGGGTAAGGTCATCCCCCCGCAAGTGGGTGCCCCTGTGCGTGCCTGGGCCTGTGCGTGTGTGACCAGGCAGGGCCAGGGGGCCAATCTAGGGGGGCGATCATTCCAACCGCAGTTACCAGTGGACTTGACTGATCCTGGTCACTTATTCAGTCAGTCAGTCACTCAAATATTGAGCACCTACTGTATACTAGGCACTGCTTTTGGCCTTGGGGATACAGTAGTTAGCAAAAGGTGGACGAAGCCTGCCTCCATGGAGCTGTCAGCCCAGTGGGGGCAGATAAACTATAAAAAACTAAGTCCGCTATTTAGCCTGTTACGTGAAGACACGAGTGCCACAGAGAGAAAGAAGGAAAGGGGGTGGGAGAGTTCTCGGGGAAGGCCTCTGAGGGGGTGCCAAGGCCAGAAGGAGGTAAGGGAGTGAGCCCCTGTCCTCAGAGGGGGCTCACGGTGTAGTCGGGGGACGGATGGGTGTGTGAGCAATTGCAATCCAGGATGGGAAGTGCGGGGCTGGAGGGTCGGGAATCGAGTTTGGCTTAAAGCCAGAGAATGAATTGGATGTGAATTTTCGGCATGGTAAAGTTTCTGTGCAAAGCTGGTGTCCAAAGGACTCATTGGGAGTTGGTGGGACCCAGTCAGGGAGGAGGGACAGGAAGGCGGTTACAGGCAGAGGGACCAGGGGACAGAGGACATTCAGGAGCTAGAGGGAGCTCTGAGTGGCCCAGGATGGCTGCAGCCGTGTGAGCTGGAGCCCCGAGGAGAAGCCCGTCGGCTCAGCTGGCCTGATGAGCAGGAGTTTGGGTCTCATCCTGTGATGAAACCACTTGAGGGTTTAACCCAGGAGTGACCAAAAAAAAAAAAAAATCCTACAGGTCACAATAGAAAGAATGGATTGACGAGGGCAAAGCTGGCACTGGGAACCATGTCACATCCAACATGTGGCACATAAAATATCCAACATGTGGCACATAAAATATCAAAACTCCACTGTTTCACCCCATTTGACATTATCAGAGAACTCACTGGGGTTGTGTGGCACAGGGCCGCTGGTCTCGATGGGCTTGGCACCACCGTGCCATCTGCCGTCCAGGTCTCGGGCTTGCTCAGGACTGTCGCTGACTCCCAACCCCTGTGTTTTTCAGAGGAGGATGGCCTTGAACCCAAGGCAGCAGTGCAGAAGGAGCTGTCGGACATGGATTACCTGAAATCCAAGGTGGTGAGGGCCGAGTCGCCATCTTCCTTGGAGGAGGAGGAGGAAGAGAGTGAAGATGAAGCCGTGAACTGTGACGAAGGGAGTGAGGCTGAGGACGGGGAGTCCTGTGCTGCCCCCAACCGGCAGGACAGAGACAGGATGGAGCCCCGGCCAGAGGCAGGGACCCCATCTGGGGACAGAAAACCACAGGAGGCCAGAGCCGAGGTGTGTGTGCACTGGGGTGTGCTTGGGCGCCCTGGGAGGTAGCCGCCCCATCTCCCACCTGGGCGTCCTCTCTGCTTAAAGGCAGGGCAGCTTGTCATGTCACTCGGGTCCCCATTCCCTGATCTCCCAGGGGTCTCAGGGAGCGTCAGCCCTCGGGCTGCCCAGCCCTTTCTTTTCCAAGCTCCAGGCTTTCCCCCTCCCTCTTCCTCCTTTCATATTCTGCCCCTTCTAATTGCCACACCCTGTCCTTTTCTCCTAAAGATGTGTATCCCAGCGAGGTCCCCCAGCGTGGTGAAGTCAGAGAGCTGTGGGTCCAGATCCCGGTTCTGACAGGGACTAGCTGTGGGACTTGGGGTGACGTCCTTCTCCTCTGTGGGCCTCTGATCCCCATCTAGGATGACGCTCGGCAGAGCACTGGTCTCTGTGTCCAGGTCCCAAAACCCCTGTCCTGAGTGTGTGCTGGAACTCGGAAGGTTCCGGATTTCAGGAAGACACCTCTGTACCCTATGCAAGCTAGCACCACAGTGGGGTGTGAGGCAGCACCCCGCCATCAAGCACGTGACTGCTTCTGCTGTGAATCCAGCACGTCCACTCGTGTTACGTGGGATAAATGTCATCTCGAGATTCCCTCACGTCAGCTCAGAGCAGGCTTTGCTGGCAGATGTGTTCAAGTCCGGGCAGGTTTTGTTGCCAAAGAAGTCAGGAAAACATTTAGGTTTTTCAGAGCTATTTGGATTCCAGAATAACAGAAAAGATCCTTAACCCATAATTTCTCTAAGATCGTTTTGAAGATTCAATACCTAGGACAGTGGTGTCTGCAAAGTAAGCCCTGCATCGGTGGCCGGGAAGACCACCGGGCCTCAGGACTCCTCCCCACACTCCCTGCCCCTCCTTGTGGCCTGCGGCCCTGTTGGCACCCCAGTCTCTGACTCTGGCCACAGTGCACATCCAAGGCAGGCATGACACTTGCTGCCATTCCCGGCCTGCCTCGGCAGCCCGTGCCCAGACATCACCGAGATGTCCGGGTCTGCCTCTCCCTGGAGCCGTACCAGGGAACGCATGTGCTCATATCTGCTCTTTGCCGTCACTCAGATGGAGAAACCAGCAACCCAGAAGGAACCCACCACCTCCCACACTGTGAAGCTGAGGGGAGCCCCGTTCAACGTCACAGAGGTATGTGCCAGTAACTGGGACAAGGACACGGAGCCCCTAGGGCAGCAGGAGATGAAGGTGGGGCGCTTTAGAATCAGTTGAGGACTTGGCTGGAAGGAGTTGGGGGCCAAAAGGGCTGGTAAATAAGATTGCGGGCTTAGGGTCACGAAACTGGGTGACTCCCCAGAAAGACTGGTTTCACACACGATCATCTACACAAGGGTGGGCAAAGTTTTTCTGGTAGAAAGAAAAGGAGCAGCTGATAAACACTTAAGGCGTTGTGATCAATAGTTGGCTTTGCTACTACTCGCTCCGCTGTTGTAGCAGAGGCAGCCTGAGGCGATAGGTAAATGACTAGGTGTGGCTGTGTGCCAATAAAACTTTATTTACAAACATAGTCAGCGGGCCAGATTTGGCCCACGTACTGTAGTATGCTGGCTCTGGGTCTATACAGCAGAGAACACTGTTTAAAATTTTCCTCCTTCTGTAAGTCATAGAAGTTCAGTATAGGAAAAATTTTAAACGTAGCTAAATAAAAAGAAGAAAGTCAAAATCACCTATAACTGGGATGACTGTATAAAAAGTCATCCAAACTGAGTTGAGAATGAGAGGAGGGCTTCACCAGATAGGGTGCCAGGATGCAACTACAAATCCGACAGGTCTAATTACCAGCTGTCCCAGACAAACTGGGGCAACCTGCCCACACCCCACACACACCTGTACTCACTCATGAATTCTGGGTGTATCTCCTTAGACATTTTTTTCTTTTTAAACTTTTACTGGGGAACAGTGTGTTTTTTCAGGACCCATCAGCTCCAAGTCAAGTAGTTGTTTCAATCTAGTTGTGGAGGACGCAGCTCTGTGGCCCTTGTGGGGATCGAACCGGCAACCTTGGGTTGTTAAGAGCTCTGCGCTCCAACCACCTGAGCTAACCAGCCACACCTAGACTTTTTTTCTTTGTGTATAAACAGTGACTTTTAGCCTTTATTTTAAAAAACCAATCCTACCATAGGAGCTATTTTGAAATTTTTACCTCTTCGTTAAGATATGTCATAACTATCTTTGAACATTGACTTCTCTGCTACAAAATCATTTTCATGTTGCTTGTTGGTCCTTCCTCTGGACACACTGTGACATACCCAGTCCCCTAAATCATGGCGTGGGGTTCTTTCTAACCTCTTAGTGTTGATAGGTAATGTAGTCAGCATTCCTTAAGCTCAGAGGGCAGCCGATTTTTTTTTTCTGTAAAGGTCAGATAGTATAGATTATAGGCTTTTGGGGGCCATTCGGTACACATCCCCTCTATTGTACATTCTTTTTCTTTTTTTTCTTTTTTTTTTGATAACCCTTTGGAAATGTAAGAATCAGTCTTAGCTTGCAGGCCATATAAACATAGGCCCTGGGCGATACTTGGCCTGTGGGCCGTGGTTTGCCGGCCTCTGCTCCAGGTCAATATTTTATCCAGGCACAGGCACGTACATTTCTAAGATGTGATGCACAGTGTCAGCTGCCCTCCGGAAACACTGCTAATTTATTCTCCCTTCAGCAGAGTATGAGGGGGTCCATTTCTGTGAACCCTGGGGATTAATCTTCATCAGTATGACAGGCAAAAATGGCATCTCATTTTCATTTTCATTTTAAATTATCAGTGAGATCGTTCATTCTTTCACATTTGTAAATCACATGTATATCCTTTTTTGCAAAGTGCCTGATCACCTTTTGCCCTATTTTTCACTTAAAGGGTTATCTTCTTTTTTGATAACCTTTCTATGCACTAATTTCAAAAAAATACTACTTAACCAGCTTCTGAATAACATGCACTAGGGTTGCACTCGACTATCTGACTTATCTGGTCGTTTAGAGTCAGAATGCTTTCAATACTAACCATGCAGATAATTGCATACTTTAATTTTTTAAAAAAAGTGACGGTTAGATGGCCTTTTGCAAAATTAATACATAAAACAATAGTCAGTTCCTTCCTCTCCACAAAAAGTGACAGAAAATATGATAGAAGACAACATTCCTTTTAGATATCAACCAAAAAGAAAGTTACCTTTAGATACTCGATGTGCTGATGTTGAAAAAGTTGAGGTTTTGTTAACTCAATAAACTGTGGCACTTCGAAACAGTAGAATATGATGTGTCATTAAAAAGAATGATATAGAAGATTCCCCAAGATGTATTATCAAGTGAAAAGTGCAAGACGTGGAGCAGTGTGGATAGCTTGATTTTTTTGTTTGTTTGTTCCCTTCAGGAGTCACAAACATACACATTCTATACTATGCTTGATTTCTCAATGATTCCTAAAAATGAGGGAGAAAATGGTTTTCTTGGAATTTCATAATTAGACTTTTCTAAGAAAATTGAAGTAATAGGAAAAATTCAGAACCTTGTTGGACTTGGTCCAAGAATTTTATAGTGCTTTGATTTGTATGGCTGTCCGGACATTATAAGTTTCTCGGTGCTGGTTCTCCAAAGGGCATACATAATCCAGTGCACAAACGAACAATGGTTTCATTCCTTCTATTTTTTTTAAATAAAAAGTGAACAAGAGTGATCTGAGCATTGGAATTATGGGCCATGTTTGTTTTCTTGTTTGAACTTTTGGTGTTTGCTAAAATATCATACTCTGTGTTTGTGCATTTTTAAAAATGTGTTTAGATCGCCCTCATGTCCAAAATAGAGAAATAGTCAAGAAAATTGGGAACTGTCTACAGCAGCACTTTTCATGCCTTAATGAGAAGTGGGAAAAGCCAGATTGAACCCCAAATATATAAAAAGTTACCTAGGGAAGAGAGATCAGAAACACCACCTTAAAATGTTGATGGTGACATTACTAGTTTATATTTATAGTCTTCATCTCCAATTTGTTTCAGATTTTTTCCCAAGGTAGTTTCATTTTATGATGGAGAAAACGTGTATAATTTGGCGGAAAGAGAGAAGCTGTAAAGGGCGAAACACTTCGATAATCTTTCTGAATTCAGAAATGTGCCCCATGTTTCTTTCTTTGGGTTGTACTTTTATTATTGGATTGATAAAGGGGGGATCTTTTCTTCTCCTTATAGAAAAATGTGATGGAATTCCTGGCACCCCTGAAACCCGTGGCCATTCGAATAGTGAGAAATGCTCATGGGAACAAAACAGGTAAGGCCTGGGATGTTTCGGTGGGGGTGGGGTGGGGACGCGGTAGGGTCAGAGCCGCAAACAGTAATGATAGAAGGTTGGAGCATGGAATTGGGGAGATGTTTGAAGGGCAGCAGTTCTTTTTCCTCTGTGTGGTCCCCGGTCCTGGGGATTGGTTAAACTCCTCTCGTCCCCTGCCTCTGGCAGCCTGGTATATAGTTTTCGCCTGTTCTCTCCTCCCTCATCTCAGCCACACGTGTGCCCGTGCGCTCACGTAGTCCTTTAAACAGGTGTCCCCAGTCCTGGGGTTTGCTGTGCGAAGTCCCTGGGCAGCTCTGCTGTCGCCCCCCCATGCCACCCTGTCCCAGGTTTCCGCGCTGGGCAGCCAGCACACTCCCGGGGCTTCGCAGCCCTGGGGCGGGGAGCATGCTGGAAGGAGGGGTATGAGCGTGGAGAAGTGGGAGCCTGCCCGTGCCTACCAGCTGGCCAGGCCGGGGGGCTGCAGGACACGCAGCGGCGGACCTGGCGCTCCTCAGAGACCCACGCTAAGGCCCTCTGGGCAGCGCGAGGCATGCAGGCTGTCCTGGGCAAGACAGTGCTGGCTTGGGCCGAGCGGTTGGGATCTGCTAGGCCAGAGTCTGGGGAAGAAAGGGTTTCTGCTTTAGGGGTGGTCTCGTCACCCTCGGGTTTCTACGTCTGCTCGGCTCTCCCCGGAGCACGAAGGCCCTGCTTGCCAGGCAGACCTAGCCACCAGCCGGCACTCGCTTTGCAGACCTGTTGGGTGCAGTCCCATCCAGCTTCACATCCCAGCTCGGCCCCCTGCGAGTCCTGGGACTCGGCATCAGCGTCTTCATCTGTGCCGTGGAAGGGTCCTGTCTCATTGAGTCGTGAGGATTCAGTGAGTTAAGACGCGCACAGCATTCAGAACAGGGCTAAACGCCCATGGCACCCTCCCTGGGAGGTGCTGTCAATATTAATGGTGGTGGTGGTACCCCTACTTTCACGGCACTCCAGAGACCAGAACGGGGAGCAGGGGCTGGCTGGAGGCAGCAGGAAGGAGCCTACTTGAGTTGTCAGGGCTGAGGAAAACCACACTGGAGGCCTTGGAGCTGGAGAGGGCTGTCATAGGAGCATGGTGCTTTGAGAAGGAACAGGATGTTTCCACAGAAATGCTCCAAGGCACAGGGCTCCACTGGGGGCTTAAAGCGGGGGAAACCGCAATGGGATTCATAGTGGCCCCCGGCTGGTGAAGGAAGGGGCCTGGGCCTGGACCCACGAGGACGCCGAGGGGACGGGTGAGGGCTTTTGCAGTTTTCCGGGGAGGATGGGGCCGGGCCGGGCCGCAGAGAGTGGAGGCGCGGGAAGAGCATGGAGGGCGTTTACAGGGATAGAAGAGGCGTCTGGTTGCAGGAGCAGAGGGGCGGGAGGAATCACAGGGGAGAGCATCTATACAGGCTTGTGAGAGAGACCAGGTTCCCGTGGGCTTTGGCCCATGTTACAGCGCTGCCACCTGTCAGCCATGTGCCCTTGGACATGGCTCTATAAAAGTGGGGGAGCGACACCTGCTCTGCCGCCTCTTCGGGTGAGGCGCAGTGAGGTCAAGGACGGGCACGACTCCCCGTGCTTCTGGCGGGTCCTCGGGCTCACGGACAGCGTGGTTGTCGACGTGGCCCCTCCGGTGCTGGGCTGGGTCACAGCACGGCCACCACAGGCACGTCTTTCCCAGAGAAGGCCACGGAGCAGGCACTGGTCAGGGTGGGTGAGGCTGGCAGGGAGGCAGAGGCCTCCTGCATTTCTGACCCCTGCAATCTACCATTTTCATCCATAAGACCAGGCCGTGGGATCTAAACACTTCCTGCAAGGGGAGCTTTGGCCAGCAGGTGTGTGTGTGTGTGGGGGGGGGGGTCTTTGTATTTTGGACATTTGGCAAAGATAAGGTTTTCCCTCACTGCTCAGAGTGCCTCAAACGCCTAGCACAGTGTGGGTGTTCCTCGGGGACCCCTGCGAGTGTCCGCAGGGCCTGCAGATTTGACCTTTGTCGTTGTCCTTTCTCAGGGTACATCTTTGTGGATTTCAGCAGCGAAGAGGAAGTGAAGAAAGCTTTGAAATGCAACAGAGAATACATGGGTAAGCGCCCCGGGACAGCTGCCACCTCTGCCTGGTTTCAGGGGTTTGTTCATTCATCCATTTACTCCACAAATTCTTACCGTGGGTCTGCTGTGTGCCAGACACTGTTCTGGGCCCTGAGGAGATGGGCACAAGCAGAACAGACCGAAATCCCTGCCCTCCTGCAGCTGACTTGGAGAAAACAGACAGACAGGGGGAGAGATGGGGCAGGTATCCAAGGGGCCGTGCTGTGGACAAATACAGAGCAGGAGAGGGCTGGGATAGGGGCAGGTGCGTTTGTAAACAGGATTGTGTCCTCTTGGGCCTCCCTGAGAAGGTGACATTGGAGCAAAACCGCAAGAAGTAGAGGAAGTAAGCCCAGGCTTTGTGGGGCAGGCCATTCCAGGACAGGGAACAATATGGGGAGCAGCATGTGCGAGTCCCTGGAGTGGAGAGGTTGCCTGAATGATCTCCACAGCCATGATCTATGACCCGTCCCTGGCATGGACAAGTGATTCAGATCCAGCCATCTGAAGGCATGAGTTCTGTTAGGGAAGGTGAGAAACCTAAGCAATCTTGTGAGCAAGTCAGACGGTACTATTTATTGAGCACCTACTTTGTGTATGCGAGGTTTAATCAGGTGCACTGGGTGATGCGTGTAAACAGTTGAACAGCAGTGCAAGGTGACTGACTCTCTGGTGTTGGGTTGTCCCATGTCACTGTCCTAAGGAAGAGAGCGAGTCAGGGACCGTGCCCTGGAATTTAGAGGATGGGGCTCTGTGGACTGGGATAGCTCGGGCAGGCTCCTGCCCAGGGTTGAAACTGAACTTGCAGGATGAGTGACATTTGGGGACAGGGCCTTCTGGTTCAGACTGGCATTGGCTCAGGCTGCTGCCTTGGCCGTGGCATCAGGAAGGCAGCAAAGATGAGTTTGGAATCGTCAGGAGTCGCTGGCAACCTCCAGGCCGCCTCCCCACCCCCTCCCGGAGCCCTGACTCCTCTCCTCATGCAGGCGGCCGCTACATCGAGGTGTTCAGGGAAAAGAGTGTCCCCACGGCCAAGGGGCCCTTGAAGAACAGCACCAAAGCCTGGCAAGGCCGGACGCTCGGCGAGAACGAAGAAGAGGAGGACCTGGCCGACTCCGGCAGGCTCTTCGTGCGAAACCTGCCCTACACCAGCACCGAGGAGGACCTGGAGAAGATCTTCTCCAAATACGGTAGGGACGCAGTCCCCCGGCTGGGCGCACACACCGAGAGCACACGGTGCGAGACCAGGCCGCCCAGCTCACGTCCCAGCCTGCCTCCTGTCAGCTCTTGAACTTGGGCTGATGATCCCCGCTCCCGCCTCAGTTTTCTCACCCAGAATATGGGGCTGACGACCTCTGAGCTGCTATGAGGATTGAAACATGATATATGTAGCGGAGCTCGTAGTCACAGCTCGCACTACAGGCAACTTTTGCAGCCTGAACCCATCCTCTCTAAACTCAGAACTGATGAGGCTTGGCACATTTTTCTGCAGTACCCCTGCCATCCGAGCTTTTGCTTCAGTATTAAAAGTCCAGCACCTGTACAGGTCTGAATACAGCAGAGCCCCCAGCCTGGGCCCCCTGCGGTCTAAATAGTCTTGCTCTCCAAACTGAGCATCCAGACAGATTTGATAGCGAGGGTTGTTTTTATCGTTGTCATCCTTGACATAATTATTTCACAGGACATGAACTTGAAGACCCGTAGTTCAGTTGGTCTGGGCTGTATTTGTTTATAAGGTCATGGCTATTGAAGGGACGGAAGTTAGAGTTCAAAATGGCGGTGAGGTCTGGATGCTTCTGAGATGCCCTGGAGGGTCCCCCACTTCTGTTTGGCTCTGGGTTGTGGAGGATTAGAGCGTGGCTGGCGACCTGGCGTGGGGGCAGAGAGGCCCTGAGCAGGGCAGATGGGTGTACCCTCCCAGCCTGTGGCCCCTGCTGTCCTGCTCGCAGGATGCCCTTGACCTTTGAGGTGGTCTCACTGCTGCCGCTGGCCACGCTATTCCTTGGGCTGAGAGGCTGCGGCCGACCCGAGCAGCAGCTCGATGCTCTCACCAGTGAAGACCTGTCGCCTGGTTAGTGCGAAGCACACAGGCCTATCCCAGCCCGCAGGATGCTGACACCTATCCTGTCCTCAGGTCCCCTGTCTGAGCTGCATTACCCCATCGACAGCCTGACCAAGAAGCCCAAGGGCTTTGCCTTTGTCACCTTCATGTTTCCCGAGCACGCCGTGAAGGCCTATGCAGAGGTGGACGGGCAGGTGTTCCAGGTGACTGCTGGGCTGGCGGGAAACTGCTGGGCCCAGGGGATCAGAAAGTGTGTGCGCACCCGTGTGTGTGTGTGTGTGTGTGTGTGTGTGTGTGTGCGTGTGTGCGCGTGTGTGCGCGCTCTCCCCCACGTTTTTAAGAAAGCACACCCACTGGTGTGTAAAGCCACCTCCACACACGAGCTGCTGGAGAGTAGCTCTCTGAGGGCAGGGTCTGCTCTGTTCCCTGGTCTGTCAGCACCTAGGACAGCGCCTGGCACGTAGTGGACACTCAGAAAGTTATTTGTTGAATGAATGCACATGCTCTCCGCCTGGGACATACCACTGGGAAGAGGAATAAGGAAGGGAAGAGTTTGGGCACAGTCGTGTTTAGTGGCCACAGTGAAATGTGAGGAACTCATCTGTTCCCAGTGTCTTCAAGTAAGGTGCTTAGTGCACACGCTTAAGCCCCGGGCCACCTCACCTCCCTAGCCATTCATTCATTCATTCATTCATAGTTTATTGTGATCACCAGAGGCCAGACCTCATGTGCAGGGACAGGATGGGGCCCAGGCTTCAGGGGCCGGGGTGCTGCAGGCGGTACCTACAAGCTGATCAGTTTTCTTTGCGAGGCTGTGTCCAAGGGCCCCCATCACAGCAGCAGGTCTGTATCACGTGGCCAGGTCCCCATTCTGGGTTGAAGTTGGCCACGTGGTTTCTGCCCAAGGCCACGTCGTCCGACGAGGGTGACAGCACTGGATCCAGCCAACTCGTGGAGAGGCCAACGTTCTGGGGCAGCACGTAGAAGCACCCGCCCCCTTTTTCACCCCCTTCCTCTTGCCCCCCGCCCCCCCACTCCAGGGTAGGATTCTCCATGTGTTACCATCCACCATCAAGAAGGAAGCCAGCGAGGACGCCGACACCCCGGGATCGTCCTCTTACAAGAAGAAGAAGGAGTCGAAGGACAAAGCCAGCAGCTCCAGGTCCTTCCCTCCTCCCAGCCTCTGGGCCCTGAGCCAGGCTCCTGCCGCCCTCACCCCACCCTTGCCCAGCCGCCTGGGCGCTCAGCCTCTCTGAGTCCGTAACCTTGCTGAGCCCGTTTTCTCAGCCTGCAGCATAGAGAGTCATAGTGGTGCCTTACTTATCATATGTCGTCTTGTAAGGGTTAAACGGGTTAACGTAGGCAAAGCGCGTAGTCCCTGGCACACAGTAGGTGCTTGACAAATGTCAGGGATTGTTAACATCATCATTGCTGCCCTTGTCTGCAAGCCCTCGGCACTTGGCCCACCCCAGGTAAGCTGGGGGGAGGAGGAGGTTTGGGGGCCTGAGAGAGCCAGGCCAGTGAGCTCGTTTCTTAGAGGTTTTGCCTCTGAAAATATATTCCCCTTGTTCAGCCGCTGTCTGACCGCCCTGTTCTGCTTCTGCCCGTCAGCTCTCACAACTGGAACACGCTGTTCATGGGCCCAAACGCAGTGGCCGACGCCATCGCACAGAAGTACAGCGCCACCAAGAGCCAAGTGTTTGACCACGTGAGTGAGCATCCGTCTGGTGTGCCCCCAGCTCCTGGCCAGCCACGGGGAGGGAAAGTGAGGGGGCACTGTGCCGCGGTCGCCTGTGAGCACGGGGCCTCTGGTGCTACAGTCGTGGGCGTCCTCCAGGCCCCCCTCTGGGCCCCCCTCCGGAACATCCCGTCCCCCCTTCAGCCCTGGCTGCTGCAGGGGGGGTGTGGAGCCACCCCGGAGAATGCAGCTGCTCATGGGCACACAGCTGTGCAGTCCTCCTCACCACAGCCCGAGGAAGTGGGTGCTCCTCCCAGCCCCACTTTCCAGATGAGGAAACTGAGGCCCAGGGACACAAAGGAACTGGCCCAGGGTCATGCTCCCGGGAGGAGGCAGAGGGGGTGACACCAGGCCTGCCCTTGCTCGGAGCCCGGGCGCACGCCTCTCAGGGGTCTCCCCTCCCAGGACAGGGGACCCTGCGACCTCTGTCCCTCCTCCTCTCCTGACTTGCTTTCCCCTCCTGATTTCCCCCCATCTGTCTATCCAGCCGTCTCTCCAGATCCTTCCTTTCAGTGCATGTGTCTCCACTTAGATTGAGGCTAAGTCCACCTTAGGCAAAGCCTGGGGGCCTGGTTTCCAGCCGTCAGCAAAGGATGTCCACGGATCTGGCCCACAAGCTCATCAGCCTGTTGTTGTCTCCTTCCTCCGCCCTGACACGCGAGGCCGGCGTTCTCCGTTAGAACTAGAACGCAGGCCCCACGTGGAATTGTAAATGTCCTAGTGGCCACATTGTTTTTTAAAAAAGAAAGCAAAAAGAATCAGGCAGAATTAATTTTCATAATCTATTTTAATTCATTCAGTATAGCCCTAATAATTATCTTTCCAACATACATGCAATATAAAAAGTGACTAGATACTTTGCATGTCCCCTTTCGCACTGAGCTTTCACAGCCCAGTGCCTGTTTCACACTCACGCTGCTTCTCGATCCTGGAGGCTCCACATTTCACACTTCAGGCGCCCAGTGGCCGCGTGGCTCATGGCTGCACCGCTCTAGAGTTCAGCCAGCTGGGTGGGGCTGCAGCCAGTTCAGATCCCACAAGCGCTCTGGGCACTGGGGACGCAGTGGGGCCCTAAGCAGAGCTGGTCCTGCTCTTCTAGAACTTCCTAGTGGAGCAGGACACTAACAGATAAGCAGAGGTGCAGCATGTTGGTGTGATGGGGGGAAGAATAGGGAAGCCACGTCGGGGGGATAGGGTGTGAGAGCAGGGTGGGCTGGTCCGCAGAGTGACATTTCAGTGGCAATTGAATGGAACCAGGGAGCGTGGGGTCAGAGCCGGGCAGGCAGAGGTTAGCAGGTGCGGAGCCCTGAGGCGGGGACAAGCCTGGCATTGGGAAGAGCAGCAGAGAAGCCGCATGACGAGTGGGGAAGGCGAGGCTGGAGAGGTGGGCGTGGGGTCCTGGATTGACTATGAGAGACCCAGAAGCGAGAGCCGCCGAGTCTGGGGCCGGCGAGGGGCACCGGCAGGTGTCGCTCCCTCCAGGCCGCCTCCGCAGGCTGCTGGGAGCGGGGAGAGCTGGTTTGTCACCTGCCGGACAGCCAGCCGACAGGGCCTCTTCCGCCCCGCAGGAGACCAAGGGCAGCGTGGCCGTGCGCGTCGCCCTCGGGGAGACCCAGCTGGTCCAAGAAGTACGGCGCTTCCTCATGGAAAACGGGGTCAGCCTGGATTCTTTCAGCCAGGTGAGCAAACACGCGAGGTCACTGGAGCTGGGGGCGGGGTTGCAGGTCGGATGTGCTGAGGGGTTTGAGGACCTGGCCTCCCCAGGGTGATGATTATTAACTTTTAAATTCTCTCTGAGCGAAGGAAGATCATCGTATGGGCTCAGACAAGGGGCCCACCTGACCCCGTGGTGTCTCGGGGGCCACAGACGAGAGGGCTACCTTGTAACCCACAGTTCCTCACACAGGCCAGGGGGGCCCCAGACACCCATCCCCGCACCCAGCACCTTACTAAGGGCACCTGTTGTCTGTTTGAGGCTTTAGACCTTTCTCGAACCAAGTAAGAGAGAGGTCAGCACCTCCATGTGCTCATTCTCCACCAGGTGGGGCTTCTCAGGTTTGTGGCTGATGAAGTCGAGAGGATCTGATGAGACCACCTGACATCTCCCCCTTCGCTTTACAGACTGGGAAACTGAGGCCCCGAGAGTAGGGAGGTGACTTAAAGGTCAAACAGCCTGTGGCAGGAGCCAGCCCCAGTCTCAGCACCTGACTCCCAGCTCTCGCCTCAGTTTTAGCAGACCTGTGGCCTTTGGCTTAGAAGGATGGTTAAAGTGGAAGGATGGATGCATAGATGGCAAGAGGGGTTAGAGGGGCAGGGGGTGGGTGGGGGGTGGGTGGATGGATGGATAAATTAAAAGTGTACTCATAGCTAACATTTATTAGGACTTACCAAAGCATTTTTCTAAGTTAACGTGTTTTATTCACTTCACTCTCCTAACAACCTCAGGGAAACAGCACTGTGGTGCTCCCAGTGTACAGAAGGGACCACAGCCTCAGAGGTGACGCTGTGGGTCCTGGGTCACACAGCTAGTCACGGCGGAGCTGGATTTGAACGCAGGCCCCAGAGTTATGCCCCTAACCGTTAATTACACTCTGCAGCCTGAGTTGCACCTAAAAAGCCCACTGGTGCCCAGTCCTTCCCACCTGCAGGCACTTCCACCTGACTCGCCTCACAGCAATCCTGTGAGGCCTACAGGATGGGCGTTAACTGTTAGCCCATTTTACAGATGAGAAAACTGAGGCCCACGGGGAAGTGATTGGCTCACGGTTTCAAGCTAGGTTAGTGGCTGAGACTCATGCCCAAATGCTCCCTATACCTAGAATTTTACCATTTTATATATATATGTGTGTGTATGTGTATATATATATATATATATATATATATATATATATATATATATATATATATATATATATATATAT